TGCTGAAGACGATCACATCGTCTATGTAGCAAGTTGCCGCGGGCACTCCTCTTAGCACTGTGTCAATGGTGCGTTGGAACACTGCTGGCGCGTTCCTCGTGCTGAATGGCATCACCTTCCATTCGTAAAAGTCCGTCCGGGCCATCAAAAGTCATTTTCTTCCGGTCCTCCTCTTTGATAACTATCTGATTGAAGCCTTGCCTCAGATCCAGGGTGGAGAACACCGTGGCTTCATGAAGCTTATCACGGGTTTGGGTACCTATCTGGCACCGTCACCTTGTTTAGCCCTCGGTAATCCCCACACATGCGTTTAGCGGAGACGCCTCCAGTGATGTCTGTCCTAGCCGCTACTACGGTTGTTGCCGCGTAGTCACTTCCTGATTTCTGGATCAGTCCCGCGTCGAGTAGCTTCTGGCACTTTGCTGTGCACACCTCCACGTCCCCCGGGCTCATCCTTCCCTTGCGATGGTACACGGGTGTATCGCTGCTGAGCACTATGCACATCTCTTGTACCGTGCACTGGCCGAGCTCCTTCAGAGTGAACACAAACGTGCCCCTGTGCTCATGTGAACGCAAACGTGCCACCTTGCGTCTCCCTGACTCCGGTCTCTGATCCTCCAGCCACTCCGGCTCCGCCCTCCGGTCCCGCCTCCATTGCCATAAACGACCATCCCTCCATCATCCTCTCGGTGCGCTGGGCCTCGATGCTTTCTAGCTGCTGCCTCCTCCACGCGGCTTCCCTCTCGTCTTGGTAGCGCAGGCTACCATCTAATTCTCTCTGCACGGCCTTCTTCTTCAGGTCATCACATTCAGGTCCATCTCTCTCCCCAAGGCGGCTCTCCTCTGTGCCTCAGTCACTTCCGGATGAGCGGTTGCTCCCCACTTATGCCCCATTACCAGCTCTCTTTCTTCCGCCGTCGATGGCTCCCATCTTCGCGTGCGCGATTCGTGGACCATCCTCGGGATGGGCAGGCTACCTTCCATGACAAAGCCTCTCGCATCGGCAAACAAGACGAGGGTCGGCCACGCTCTCCTGGGCTCCCCTGTGACATTACACCGGTACTGGGAAGGGCGATCTTTGACCGTCACCGGTGCTGGCACTCGATTGGGCCCCACGATGTCTTTCACTAGCCGAGGGTGGGGTCTCTGCATCTAGACCAAAGAATGCCTCAGCGAGGCGTCGGACACCCCGTTCTGCCAATACCTCCTCGGCAAGTGAGCTCTCGACCCCAGTTGCACCGTGTCTGCCGGCACTCCTCGGCCTACCACTGCTTGTATTTCTTTGAACGCTCATTTCACCGGCTCCTGTTTGTCATCCGCCATGTCCACATTTTCCAGGATGAAGACCACCTCCCTCTCCTTCTGATGTATTAGGCGCAACACCCTCTCCAGGTCCCGAAAGGACGCTCCTCTAGGATCCTCCATTCTCCTCCCTTCACCGACTCTCGAGTATCCTTGGCACTCCCATCCGGCCACCACCAGGTCGATCGGCCCCCTTCTCTCCAGCCCCTGCTCGGTGATGTCTCTCATATATTGCACCGTCACCTCTTCCTCGGTGGGGATGGTCGTGATCAGTATCTGTTGCGGGTATTCTTCCAGGAGTTTGAGTGCCTGATGCCTCGCCATCTTACGCACTACTCGATCCTGTTCCACGTGGATCCATCTCCCCACGAAGCACCTTGCCTTTAGTGCGGCCGCTAAGCCCGTTCAGATACCCCCATATAGTTCTAGGATGCACAAGGCCGCGTCAAGGCACCACGTCTTGCTCACCCGCTCCTTCAGGTCGGTCACTCTCCTCCCTGCCTCGTACAACTCATTCCTCCTCTGGCCTTCCTCGGCATACTCTTGCCAAGTCCAGCCGTCCAGCTCCTTAGATAGGTCTGCTTCTTCCGCTCTGTAGGCAGCTCGGGGTTCGTGCTTCAAGAATCGCACCGGTAGGGCTCCTACGGAACTTTCTGGGTCCCAACATTGCGCTCGGTACAGCACCTTCTCCTGCCAGGTGCATATCGTTGCCCCCACCTTGTACAGAAGCTCCATCCCCACTAACACATCATAATATTCGGATTGCGACACTCCGCCTTCAGGCGAACGCAGCATTCCTTCTACGTGCTGAGCAGTAACGTGATCTCCACGGGCCTCTTGGTGCTGGGCATCCACTTCGGCTCTCCTCCTTCGGCTGTCATTAATAGGGTGCCCCTCTCCACCTGCATCTCCAGCAGATCGAGCCGCTATTGCTTCGCTAGGCCCTTTTTAATGATGACGTGGTAGGCTCCAGTGTCTATAATCCCTTGCCTCACTGATAGTCCTCCCACCGTCGGACTTCCATTTTCCGCGATCAGAACCAAAGCTTGGCACACCATTCGCTCGTTCGGGTGTCTCCGCATCTCACTGCTCGTAGTCCCTTCCCTTTAGGCTTGACCTCACACCCTCTGCACGGTCGTGCTCAACTCCTTAAACCGCTCCAGCCTAGGCCACAAGTCGATGTCGCTCCTCTCCCGGGTATGCGCCATAAATCCGTACTCCCGCACCAGTTCCTCTTCCGGTAACTGGTCGTCTGCAAATTCTTCAATAGCCATCATGGCTTGACTACTGGCTCCCGGTTTCGGCATCCGCTCTAGCCGCACTTGCAACTTACGGATCTCCGCCTGAAGGTCTTACCATGGTAACAGTCATTCGCGGGGTGCCCCCTTCTCCCGCAGCCTTCGCAGATCGGCGCGCTAGGGCAATCTCTCTTCAAGTACCCTGCCTCTCCACAATTGTGACATCTCCTCTGGTCCACGCGCTCCCTTGCATTCTTCTCTCCTTCTTGGACAGCGGCGGCTGCCCAGCTGGTCCGTTCCTTCTGCTGCGGCGGCCCGTCGTCCTACTCTAGCATCCTCTGGGCGTGCTCCGCGCATTTTGCCAATCCGTAGACTTCCTTCAGGGTGACATCCGCGCCGATCCCATATACCGCCGTGCGAACCACCGGACGCAGTTCTTCATCTAGCCTCTTCACGAACTACTGCACCAGCAAGCGTTCGTCGCTCTTCTCCAAGTCCTTTGCCAGCTATAATATGCGATTGAAGTACGATAGCAGCGACTCCTCCTTCCGACGGCGGAACTCTCGAAATTCATCCAGTCGGGCCCTCGTCTGCCCTACGAACTCCCTTTTTAATAGCTGTACGAACTGATCTATCGGGATCTTAATAAACCCTTCCGCCAATTATTATAGCACCTCGCTCCGCACCATCTCGTAGAATGTCTCTACTTCCCCCGTTAGTGTCACCATCTTGCGAAAGAATTCTTGCGGGTCAAATCCGTCCCGCTCCCAGCAGTATTGCGTTGTGTCCAGTTGCATAACGTACTTCTTCAGCGTTGGTCCCACTTCCGGAATTCCCATGTAGAGTTCGGCCACTTCAACTTTCGGCAGTGAACCGTTCCTCCAGCGGCGTCCCAGCGGCGTCCCAGCGGAAGGCTCTCCTCTTCCTCTTCCTGCAGGCCCATGGCGGCTTGACTCGCCAATATTTCCTGGTTGTCGCGAAGGCTGGGCCGTAGGTCCGGTCCCTTGTTACTCCACTGGGGCGGCGCCGCTTCGGCGTTTTCGCTCATTCCCGGCATCGTCCTCAGCGACTCTCTTACGGTCAGAGACCTCCATCGGCCTTGCGCTTCTTTGACCCATTTCGCGTCTGGCGGCACGGTCCCTGGGTCTGAAGCGGGTGGCGGCTTAACCCCGCTTTCTCGCCTCGCCCCCATGCACTCGCGTTGGTGAGGCATTCGATACGTCGGAGATTCACTGCGTCTCGATGTCGATTCACTTCTTCCCTCCAATCGTAAACTGTTATCGTGTGCACGCCATCCTGGCGTTGCTTGCGTTGTCTCCATCATTCGCATGTGGTAGCTAAACCCGGACCTCAGTTATACATTGTCGTTCGTACTCCTTACCTGTTTGTTGACAGATCTGGGCAATGTACATCAGTTGGGTCGTTAGCTCGGCTGACTGCTGCTTGAATTGGCTTCCCTAGCTAGGAGGAAAGTGAAATCTTTAGCTAATTGGGAAAAAAAACAAGCAAGAAATCGGCTACTGGCTCGCTGCTATGCTAAGGATTGTGTTGGTGCTTACTATTGCCATTACGACCGTTGCTGCTTTTCGTTGGTTCCCGCTTCACGCGGGTTCTACTCGGGTTCGTTCCCGCCTATCTATCTTATCCTCGTTACGGCCGCCTAGCTACACTACCCTCTCACACAATTATATTCAGGTTCTTTAATAACTACTTATCCTAGTGCTGCCTTTATTAATTGCGTGACAAGGCCACTATAACATGCGTGCATGCCCACGCTACTACAACTCGCGCAGTAGGAAGTACCACAGCAGAATGTGCTTCTCCTTACCCACTACTCGAGACCCCTGACACAAGAGGATCATGGCCTGTTGTGAGTGAACAGGACCGGTGCAGAGCGAGGCGGCTCACCTAAGTCAGTGAGCAAGAAATTCAGCCAGTGGAGCTCCTGTAAAGCCATAGCATTGGCACAGATCTCGACCTTAGCACTGGACGAGGCTACATACGATTATCAAGTCGAGCTCCACGAAACTCCTGCGCCAAGACTGAAGGAGTAGTCCTGTGAAGTCCTGAGAGTCTCGAGGTCGTCTGCCCATTACGTGTCAATGTGTCCGATAGTGACGTGCTGTCCTCCAAGCACAAGCCCCATGCCTAATGTACCCGTACATTGCGCAGTGCCCTCTTAGCAGCCATTCACTGAACGCCACGGTGTCTCCCAGTCACAACAAAGCGTGCAAGGGTGCTAAAAGGGAATGCAATATCTGGATGACAGCAAGTCATCAGGTTCATAAAGCACCCCACCAGCTCTGTGTACTGACCACTAGGCTCAGTAGGCTCCTCAGGAATAGAAGCCCATGGAGAACTGCAAGAAGGACGGCCTATGCAAAGAAGAACTAAAAAATGGACCGTATGAGGATCTGCTGCACCATATGTGAGTGTGATGGTGTGATATAAACTTCCACCATGTGTGGCGTGCCCCTCGCGCTACTCTTAGCGGCCCCGTTGCCGCCCTTCCAGGCCCCTCGCGGCCCCTTCGCGGCCCCGTTGCCGCCCTTCCAGGCCCCTCGCGGCCCCTTCGCGGCCCGTCGCCGCCCCTTTTGCGGCCCGTCGCCGCCCCTTTCGCGGCCCGTCGCCGCCCTTCCATGCCCCTCACGGCCCCTTCGCGGCCCCGTCGCCGCCCGTATCGGCCCCGTCGACGCCGCCAGCGGCCCCGTCGCCGACCCTAGCGGCCCCGTCGCCGCTCTTATCGGCCCCGTCGCCGCCGCCAGCGGCCCCGTCGCCGACCCTAGCGGCCCCGTCGCCGCTCCTATCGGCCCCGTTGCCGCCGCCAGCGGCCCCGTCGTCGCCGCCAGCGGCCCCGTCGCCGCCTCCAGCGGCCCCGTCGCCGCCACTTGCGGCCCCGGCCCCGCCCCGCCCATGCCCCATCGCCAGCCGCGGCGCACCGGGGGCACGTGCACCGCCCCCCCCCCCCCTTTTCCCGTCGCCCGTCGCTGTCAAACATTATATATGTTGTGTTAGTTTAGGCTACAGTGGGTTAGCCTATAGGGGGTACACAATTCTAGGGTTAGGTACTTGTACTCATTTCACTGCTAGTTCATTCATTCCTGTTCAGTGATTCCAACATGGTATAGAGCAGGTCCTTCCTAGGACCGAAATTTTCTAAGGGCCCACCACTACGTAACTACCTACCTACCTACCTACCTACCTGTGCCCTAGGGCGCCTCGGCGTGTCACGCCCCTAGAGGCCCCTCTTGACGGCCCCGCGCTAGCCCCGTTCAGGCCCCGTCGGCCCCACGCCCGCTCTCCCTAGCGGCCCCGTTCAGGCCCCGTCGGCCCCTTTAAGGCCCTGTTCAAGCCCCGCGCTAGCCCCGTTAAGGCCCCGTCGGCCCCGTTTCAGGCCCCGTCGGCCCCGCGCTAGCCCCTCTCAGGCCCCGTCGGCCCGCGCTAGCCCCGTTTCAGGCCCCGTCGGCCCCGTTTCAGGCCCCGTCGGCCCCGCGCTAGCCCCTCTCAGGCCCCGTCGGCCCCGCGCTAGCCCCATTCAGGCCCCGATTGGGCCCGAGCTAGCCCCGTTTCAGGCCCCGTCGGCCCCGTTTCAGGTCCCGTCGGCCCCGCGCTAGCCCCGTTCAGGCCCCGTCGGCCCCTTGCTAGCCCCGTTTGGCCCCGCGCTAGCCCCGCTCAGGCCCCGATCGGCCCCGCGCTCGCCCCTCTAGGGCCCCAACCGGCCCCGTGCCGACCTCGCCGACCCGTGCCCACCACCTAGAGGCCCCGGGCGGCCCGTTCCCGCCGCAGCACACGAGGGAGAGCAGGCGGCCCGTCCCCGCCGTGACCCGAGCCGCGCGACCCGAGCCGCGCACCCCGAGCCGAGCTGCGCCACCCAGCCGAGCCGCGACCCGACCTGAACCGAGCCGCGCCGCCCTGCCCTACCTGGTTCGTCCTACCTGCTTCTCCTACTGCTACTGCTGCTATTTCTACTGTTCCTATGGCTAGCCCACAGGTTCTCGTGTTCGATGCTGAGGGCCGCCCTGTGAAGTTTGACACCTCGCTCGATGACCTGCACCTCTACCTACAGCTCACAGCCAAGGATGACATCTCACTGTACGATCACGCCCTAGGCCATGTCACTGCCCCTGCTGCTACTGCTGATAGCACTGCTCGCTCACAGTGGCAGACTCGTGACACCCACGCTCGCTTCGCCATTCGCAACTCCCTGCCGATAGACGAACGCGAGCACTTTGGTCAGCACAAGACTGCACAGGCACTGTACACAGCTGTAGTTGCTCGCTACTCCTCACCTGCCTCTGCCGCACTAGGCCGTCTCTCCCTCCCCTACCTGTTTCCCAACCTGGCCTCCTTTCACACAGTCGTTGACCTCATCACGCACCTCCGTACTAGTGAGGCCCGCTTCCGTGCCGCCATGCCTGCTGAGTTCCTTGCCACGCACCCCCCTCCACTCTGGCTCACTCTCTACCACCTAGTCACCCGCCTCCCTGACACACTGCGTGCTGTCAGGGACCACTTCCTAGCTCGTTGCCCCACTGAGCTCACCATTGCCCTCCTCGAGAAGGAGCTACTTGCAGCTGAGACTAGCATAGTCGCTGTAGGTGCCTCTCATGGCGACCCCCGTACCCCGTTCTTTGAGGGGTGTTCTCCTTCCCCCCTTCTTCCCTCTGTCGCCTCTGCTGCTGCTATCGACCTTCTTGGTGCTGAGAAGGTCGGCGCTGCGTCTGCCTCGAGCGGACGCCGCAGCGGCAAGGGCAAAGGGGGCAAGGGTGGTGGCGGTGACGGCGGGGGAGGCGGCGGTGGGGGCGGTGGAGGCAGTGGGGGTGGTGGCTCGGCTGGAGGGGCGAGTGGTAGCGGTGGGGGTGGTGGCGGCAGCGGCGGGGGAGGTGGCGGTTGGGGTGGAGGTGGACGAGGCGGCGGTAGGGGTTGGGGTGGTTGAGGAGGTGGCAGCGGTGGTGGTGGCCGTGGAGGCACTGGCGGTGGCCAGAGCCAGCAGCACACTCCCTCGCCCCAGGAGGTCCGTGAGTGGTACTCTCAGCACGGGGGGGGGGGGGGGGTGGCCTTAGCTGCACGTACGTCATTCGCACTGGTGGCCACACTGGTCAGCAGTGTGGACGACCGGACGCCACACAGCGCTGCTTCTCTCGTCTCGACGACGCTTGGCGTGTTCAGTTCCCTCAGGCCACTGAGCTGCCCCGCTAGGTTGATCTCCTGAAGAAGGGGATTGATATCTATGCTCTAGACTTTGATGCTATTCTATCTGCCATGTATGTGATGTCTACTAGTGGAGAGGGTGCTGAGTACTTGTGTGTGCCGCCCGACCCGGGCATTAGGGCCAGTGCGTCTGCCGCTCCAGGTACTCGCGTTTCGGCTACCCCAGGTGCTGGTGAGGCTGCTGCTCTAGGTGCTCGTGTGTCTCCCCCCCTTGGTACTGCGTCGACTGCCGCACTGCACACCTTCACACTAGACTCAGGTGCTTCTCGCTGCTTCTTTCGTGACCGCACTGCCCTTGAGCCGCTTGCTCGGCCAGTTGCTGTCTCCCTTGCTGACCCCTCTGGGGGTCCGGTCATTGCGACCTCTAACACTGTCCTTCCCTGCCCTGCGGTCCCGTCGGGCACACTGTCAGGTCTCCACCTCCCCTTGTTCTCTACGAACTTGGTGGCAGGATGTGCACTCCAGGACGGGGGTGTTCACCAGTTCACCCCTGCCTACGAGCACGTGACACACTGCACGTGTGCTCGTACAGGCCGTCACTTGGCTACCTTCACTCGGCAGCCGGGGTCGGACCTGTACACACTGACTACTGAGTCCCCTCAGGTTGCTGCGACTGCGTCTGCGTCCGCGTCAGGTCAGCTGTCCGCCCCCTGCTCGTGTCGCTCTTTGGCACACGAGACTATCCTCTGGCACCACCGCCTTGGCCACTCGTCTGTGCAGCGGCTTCGTGCCATGCACTCCCGGTACCTTTTCTCTGGCCTGCCCAGGGTCCTTCCTGCCCTCCCACCCTCGCCTGCTCCTACCTGTCTCCCCTGTGTCGAGGGACGGCAGCGCGCCGCTCCTCACTCCTCCTCGTTCCCCCCGACGACTGCTCCCTTGTAGACACTCCACATGGACGTGTGGGGCCCAGCCCGCGTCCGTGGTCAGGGTCAGGAGAGGTACTTCCTGATAGTTGTTGACGACTACTCGCGCTACACCTCGGTCTTCCCCTTGCGCACCAAGGGTGAGGTCCCTGATGTCTTGATCCCTTGGATCCGCAGAGCCCGTCTCGAGCTAAGCGAGCGTTTTCACTCGGACTTTCCTGTCCTGCGCTTGCACTCTGACAGAGGTGGTGAGTTCTCCTCCGACCTCTTGGCAGCCTAGTGTGCTGAGCACGGCATTGAGCAGTCGTTCACGCTTCCGGCTTCTCCACAGCAAAATGGGGTTGAGGAGCGCCGCATTGGCCTGGTCATGGAGGTCGCCTGTACCTCCTTGATCCATGCGGCTGCCCCCCACTTTCTGTGGCCGTTTGCGGTCCGGTACGCTGCGCATCAGCTCAACCTCTGGCCCCGTGTCTCCTTGCCGGAGACCTCGCCCACGCTGCTGTGGACGGGGGAGGTTGGCGATGCGTCGCGTTTCCGGGTCTAGGGGTCTTGAGCTTTTGTCCGCGATTCGTCTTCGGACAAGCTCTCCTCCTGTGCTGTTCCCTGCGTCTTCCTCGGCTTTGTCCCGGACGCGTTTGGTTGGCAGTTTTACCACGCCACCTCGCGCCGATTCTTGCCCTCCCAGGACGTCACTTTTGACGAGTCCGTCCCCTACTACCACCTCTTCCCCTTCCGCACTGCCCCGCTCCCCCCCCCGCCTCTCTTCCTCGTGCCAGGTGCTGCTGTTGCAGACCCCCTCCCCCCTCAGGGTGCCGCTGCCTTAGGTGTGTCTCAGGTAGACCCGGTTGAGCCTGTTGAGGTAGCTGTCGACTCTCGTCCTGCTGGGGGTGCTGAGCCTGGGGGTGTGGAGCCTGGGGGTGTGGAGCCTGGGGGTGTGGAGCCTGGGGGTGTGGAGCCTGGGGGTGTGGAGCCTGGGGGTTTGGAGCTTGAGGGTGTTGAGCTTGGGGGTGTGGAGCCTTGTGGTGCTGAGCTGCGGAGTCTGGAGTCTGGGGGTTCTGAGTCTAGAGGTACTAGGCCTGGGAGTCCTGTACCTGGAGGAGCCCTCTCCTCGGAGCAGCTGCGTGCGTGGTACTTAGAGTACTGCAGCCTCCGCAGAGGTACCGCTCGAGCCGGACGAACTACTGAACTGGTGCTAGTGCTTCTTCTCCCGTTCGGGAGCTCCCCTCCCGCGAGCGGATCCGTGAGTGGTACGAGCGGCGCTGCACTCTTCGGAGTTGCGTGCCTCGTCTTACGGACACCGCTGCTGTTGGAGATGCAGCTGGTGCTGAGGACCCGGGCGTTGGAGCTGCTGCTGGTGCTCAGGATCCGGGCGTTGGAGCTGCTGCTGGTGCTGAGGACCCGGGCGTTGGAGCCGCTGCTGGTGCTGAGGACCCGGGCGTTGGAGCTGCAGCTGGTGCTGAGGACCCAGGCGTTGGAGCTGCCACGTGCTGCGGACCCGGGCGTTGGAGCTGCTACTGGTGCTGAGGACCCGGGCGTTGGAGCTGCCGCTGGTGCTGAGGACGTGGGCGCTGGAGCTGCTGCTGGTGCTGCGGACCCTGGTGCGGGTATCCCTGCTGGCTCTGGTATCGCTGCTCGGTCTCGGCCGTACTTTGTTCCGCTCCTTCAGCAGGTTCTTGGTCAGCTTCCTCCTCCTTTTCCTCCTCCCTCCTTAGCGTGTCCTCCGCCAGTCGAGCTGCAGTCGACGTTACCGTCTGCCTCCTCTCTCCCTGGTCCTGCTCCTTACACTGGTCCGACTGGAGGTCTTACTGAGCATCGTGAGCCTGCGTCTCGTCTTGCGTCGCCTGAGTCTCGTCCTGAGTCGCCTGCATGCACTGCTCTCTCTAGTAGTCGAGTCCAACGTCAGCGTCTTCCTGCTGTCCCAGGCACTCACCGGATGGCGCTTCGTCCGTCCACTGCTCCACAGCGTGTCCCACTGCCGTCTCCTCCTGCTTCCTCTCTTCCTGCTCTTGCTGACCCTGGGTCAGACTCTCTTCGTGCTACCAGTCCTACTGTCACGCATCTCCTGGCTACTGTTGTCACTGACCCTTCCTTTGAGTCCGCTGCTGCGTCTGCCTTACTTGCAGAGCTTGTCGACTTTGCTGCTCGCTGTCGTCTAGACTACGCTGCTAGCCTAGTTGCTGAGTCTGAGTCTGTCTGTCCTCCGTCCGTCGGGGGTGAGTGTGCTCTTGGCACTTACGTCCTTGAGGACAGGCAGGAGGAGTTTGAGTGCTTTGCTGCCGCTTTGCCCCATCTCGTGTCCATGCTTGTTGCCCCTGAGGGAGACCCGGATGCACCAGACATCCCGACCCCACGCTCTTACGCAGAGGCGATAGCCGGTCCCTACTCCTCTCAGTGGCAGTCAGCCATGGACACAAAGATGGCTTCTTGGAAGTCCACAGGCACCTACGTCGACGAGGTTCCCCCACCTGGGGCGAACATCGTCAGTGGCATGTGGATTTTCAGGGTGAAGCGGCCGCCGGGCTCTCCGCCTGTCTTCAAGG